ATTATCCAAGGAAACAAATCCTGTGGTGTTCTTTGATGTTTGTGCAGATGATGAGCCTCTAGGACGTATAACCATGGAATTATTTTCAAACATTGTTCCTCACACTGCTGAGAACTTCAGAGCACTATGCACTGGAGAGAAGGGCTTTGGTTTCAAGAACTCCATTTTCCACAGAATAATTCCAGATTTTATTTGCCAAGTAAGTATCAACTGTGTATTACAATTGAAGTCTAGAAGAATGCACCGCACAAATTTGGGGAATTTGAGTATTTCCCCATGCCTTCATCCTGTAATTTTCATAACGTATCTTTAGTTTTTCCACACTTTAGTTGGTATTACCACCACCCCCCCCTTCCACCAATAAGTTTCAACCTAAAATGGTTTACAGATCTGACATCCCTTGGAACCTGCTCAAATTGAGGGTGGGAAAAAGACCTCTTTATTTTTATCTTCTTTCAAAAATGGATAATTCTGAGTTTTCAAATCACATTCTTAAGAAAGCCTTTCGGATTATTCTGCAGTGATGACTTCTGTGTGTTGTATTCAGGAATCCTACTAATTGGAATCTTTTTCCAGGGGGGAGATATCACCAAACATGATGGAACAGGAGGGCGGTCCATTTATGGAGAGAACTTTGAAGATGAGAACTTTGATGTGAAGCATACTGGCCCTGGTTTGTTGTCGATGGCCAGTCGGGGCCGGGATACCAACAATTCCCAGTTTTTCATAACACTGAAGAAAGCAGAACACTTGGACTTTAAGCATGTAGTGTTTGGGTTTGTTAAGGATGGCATGGATACTGTGAAAAAGATTGAGTCATTTGGTTCTCCTAAAGGGTCAGTTAGTCAAAGAATTAGTATCACAGAATGTGGACAGATATAAATCATTGTTTTTCATAGTAAATTTTATCTGTATCAACAGTTAAATTGAAGCTTAGCCGTTACAGACAATATGGTAATTATGTTCAGATTTTGAAAATGGACGTTTCCAATGTATAAATGTAAAATTGCAGCTTATAGCTGTTGTCATTTTTTAATGTTATAATTGACCTTGCATGGTGTGAAATAAAAGTTTAAACACTGGTGTATTTCAGGTGTACTTGTGTTTATGTACTCCTGACATATTTGTATTAAAAATGGAATACTAACCTTGTTAAAAGCAATAGACCACCTCAAACTATTGAAGGAATATGATATATGCAATTTAATTTTAATTCCTTTTAAGATATTTGGACTTCCTGCATGGATATGCTTACCTTTTGAATAAAGGGACCACAACTTGGATTTTAAATTTTTTTTAAGATTTGAAATATATTTGGTAATCTTAACTATCTGTGTGCTCGTTTGTGCAGAGACTCATTTATGAATGGGTAGAGCCTCGGAGGCTAGAGGCTTAACCAGAGTGCTCTTCTCTAATCCTTGCCTGCACCTCCTGTGTAGTTAGAAATCACCTTTTAAGTAGGATACCTTTTCTTGATGATATGTAGGTTCCTGTGCCCTTTCAAAGGCATTAAGTTCTACATTTTAAACAAGCTATTTCCTTAAGAGTTTTTGTTTTATTTTACTTCTAAAACTTTGCTGTCATCTGTCTCTACTACCTCAGAAACTGCAGCTTGGTTCTGATAATAGAACTTGAATTTTTTTCTTGCAGTTATTGTGATAAAATATGAATATTTTTACAAGGTCTATACCATGTTCTTTGGTTGAAGATTTGCTTTATACTAGATTGTTGCAGTACCTTTTTCTGGTGAATTTTGTAGCAGAAATAAAGTGACATTGACAACAGCCATGACATTTAAAAAATTCATTACTTGTGCATCTAGTTGTCTGTTCACCCCCTTCTAGTACCAGGCAGAAAGGAAGGAGGACAATTAAAAGGTTAGTAAACTCAAAACTGCCATGTAATTTCTAGTGTTCCTGAGGAAGTGACTCTTCTCAAGTCTGATACACATTGAAAAATATATTTGGGAATGGCTAGTGTTAAGCAACTCTTAAAGGAAGAGGGTGTTCTCATTGGCCTACTCAATGTCAATCTACAAAGAAACCATACAGAGCACAAAATTTTGTATGCTCCAGTCATGAACAGTGACTGTCCTCTACCCTCCTATATTCCACATTTTGTAAGGATTTAGAAGTGGGTTGTCCTTTAGTAATTACCAGGTCAGTCACCAGTCAAATGAGGGGAGGGATGTTATGTGTGGTTTGTGTAGGTAATGAGTAATGGAATGCCATCACTGTAAAGACCCTTGGCCCCCAAGCCAGACACCTGAAGTGTAAACCTACCCTAAATGTATCAGTTGAACTACTTGAACCTTAAAAGAGAACCATGGACTTCATATATGCATATTTTATATTTTGAATTGGCTTCTGTGGACATCTGTGTAATATAAGTTGATGGAAGGTTTGTTACAGCTTTTCAGTTGAGATAACTGATGCCTTTGTCACTATTTTAGAATAAATTCCAAGTAAAAGTGCATTTTAAGAGATTTTTTTTACACTTATTTCTGTGCTATCCTAAAGCATTGAAGTTATGAATTCAAAAGCTTTAAAAGCTGCTACTCTGACCAAAAATTTGATAAAAATGACGGTAAACTGCCCTTTTTATTAGTGTTCCAAAGAGGCATATGTTAAAATCAACCGTATGTTGTATCTGTCTTTTCTCTTCATTAATTATAGAAACTTGAATTAAAAGTGGCTTCAGGCATTTATAACAAAGGCCTTTTGTCACACTTGAGGAATGGACTGTGATTTCTCTAACTTCATTATCTAACCACTGGTATACAAACCCACAATGATAGGTTTTTTCTCACATTAAAATCTGCTTAAAAGTAGAATATAAAGAAATTAGTTGTACATTTTTAAGTCATGCTTTATGGCCAAAAGGATATTGGTTTAAATAATTTTCAAACAATAGCTATTAAAGTATTGATCTTATAAAATTTGGGCATTTGAGGAGCTTTAAAAATAATTGAGAAATTAGGAGTTAGTCCAGACATGCAGCTGAACAATTATTACAGTAATGTATAAATTAGAGAAATTAAGGGCTATACAATTGTTTCCCTCAATCAGTCTGTTCAACACAGGTTTTTAGGTTGATAACCATGCCAGTAAGCACTGAGCACTTTCCAAGGCTGTAATCTTTACGGAAGAGGGCTGCCACCTTTTTTTTTTTTTTTTTAAATATCTTTTTTTATTGAACTTTAGATGAAGGTTTACAGAACAAACTAGCTTCATTAAACAGTACACGTATCGTTTTATGACACCGGTAAACAACCCCATGAAACATCAGTACTCTGCTTTATTGACCTTGGGTTATCAACAGCTTTCCTCTCTCCTCCTGCCTTCTAGTCCTTGCTCCTGGGCTGGTGTGCACCTTTAGTATTGTTTTGTCCTATGGGCCTGTCTAATCTTTGGCTAAAATGTGAACCTCAAGAGTGACTTCTTTACTGAGTTAAAGTAGTTTCCGGGGACCATACTCTCGTGGTTTCTCCAGTTTCTCAGGCCAGTAAGTCTTTTTTTTTGAGTTAGAATTTTCTACATTTTTCTCCAGCTCTGTCTGGGACCCTCTGTTGTGATCTCTGTCAGAGCAGTCAGTGGTGGTAGTCGGGCACCATCTAGTTGTGCTGGACTCAGCCTGGTGAAGGCCATGTTGTCACATCTTGTACGCAGCGGGTTCTAACCACCGACCTTTTGGTTAGCAGCCGACTGCTTAACCACTGCGCCACCAGGGCTGCTTCTACATTCTAATACTTTTTTTAAAAATACTTTAATTATTTTAAAAAAAAACAACCTTGCCTCTAACTCATAGCGACTCTGTTAAGACGAGTAGAACTGCCCCATAGGATTTCCAAGGAGCCGCTGGTGGATTGGAACTGTGGACCTTTTGGTTAACAGCCGAGCTCTTACCATATACTAACTTCTAGAACACAGTCAAATGGCAGAGAAAGTGAGGAGGTAATTATCTTTCGGATTTTTATGCTTCTGCCATATTCTTGATTTTTTTTTCCCTTCTACACCCACGTTATACTTAAGAGCTTTCTTTGCTATATTACAGTTGGCAAAGTCCACCTCTGATTAAAAAAAACAGATGAATTTTGGTATGTAGGCAATTGGCTGGCGGTAGCGGTCAGGTTTGGACCAGCTTGGGAAATAGATCTTAAGTCTGTATGTGTGCATTCCCCTGTACATACAGACGCACAGGTTACGAGAAAGCGGTACATTGATAACGTGGCACCGAGTGGAGCTGAGTACGTAGTTTTACTTCGCCCTAAGGATAGATAGAGCCCTGGTGGTGCAATGGTTAAAGCACTCGGTGCTAACCGAAAGGTCGGAGCTTCAAAGATGTGACAGTTGGCTTCCGTAAAGATTAGTCTTGGAGACATTATGGGCAGTTCTACTCTGTCCTACAGGGTCACTATGAGTCGGGATCGACTCCACGGCCAAAGGGTTTGGTTTTTGGGTTTTTGTTTTTCTAAGGATACGGTTAAAGCCCCGCTCAGGGATGGAGTGAATGACAGACCAGACCAGCTAAAAGTGGAATCTGGTGTTCAGGCCCTAGGCCCCTTACCACGTTCTTTCTAAATTGCTTTTGGGTTCCTTGGACACGATAGAGCGAAAATCCAGCTGGCAAAAAAAAGAAATTTGTTTTTTGTAAGCCACTAGTAAAAGGAAACACCATTTATCTGTCCAAATAACACTCTTATAAAAGGAACAGAGTCGTTATATCATTCGGCAGGAGAAAAAAATTGTAACGCGAGGATATATACATACATAGACTGGGAGAGATGCCACCTAGCCACTCACCGAAGTCCACTCAGTATTAACATGCTCCTTAGACACCAGGCTCCACGGCCGCCGGCAGCGCCCTCCAAGACGCCAGCTCCGCGCCCCGCCCCCGCGAGCCGCAGCGTCGGTGCGTACCCGCGAGAGGCGGGAGACGTGCCTGCGTCTTGACGCACTGCGCTTCCGCGAGCTCCGCCCCCTGCCTCCCAGCCGTAGGTTTAAACGCGGTGACTGTGGAGACAACGGTGACCGCAGAGCGTAATGGAACCTAGGGTGGTTAAGCCCCCTGGTCAGGATCTCGCAGTGGAGCGTCTCAAAAGCCTCTACGGACTGGGGGGCAGCTGCCCTGAAGAGGTGAGGCCGCCGCCGCCGCCTCCTTCCTGCACCAGAGCCCCAGTCCTTGTTTTGCCTTCTTTCCCTACGGCGGCTGCACCTCTCAGGCTCTCGGGCTCCTGGCAGCGGGAGGAGGCCCTCGTCTAGAGCGAGGACTGCCTCTGTGCGTTTGGGAACCGAGGCTGCGGGGACCGTGGATCGGAGTACCTGGTGCCTCTTCCACTGGTGACTTCGAATGGCTGCTGGAAGACCAAGGGGTAGAGCTACCCAGCTCTCTCGAGACGTCTGAAAGTTTGGAAAAGAGTTGTGCATGCCTTTCGCAGAAAAATCGATTTAGTGAAACTTAGCTGTGGGAGAAAAGTAATTTGTGACCGCAGATGTGTAAATGTCTCTGTACTATATGTACAGGAAACAAGTTTCTATCAGAAAGAAATTCCCTCACCATAACTTTTAAGGGTTTATGTTTATGCAGAGCTTGATATGGCATTGTAGAAAGTATTTTTGAACTTTTATTTACCACAGTAAATAAATACTTGAGTGGAGTTTAAAAAACTTAATTTCTTTTTTAAACTTCTTATTTTGGAATAATTTCAAACTTACAGTAAAGTTGCAGTATAGTGAGCTCCCTTGCACCCTAAACTGGGATTCACCAATTATCGTTTTGCCATATTTGTTTTGCCGTTTTCTCTTCCTCTTTTTTCTGAACTGATGAGATGATTTGCAGGTATTATGCCCCTTTGCCCCGAAATATAAATACTGCAGTGTGTCTTTCCTAAGAATAAGGACATTTTCTAAGATACCCACAGTAAAGTTACCGAGAAATTTAACATCAGTACAATACTTTCGTATAATTCATAGTCCATATTCAAATTTCACCAATTATCTCAATAATTTTATTTGTAGAAATTTTTCTCCTGGTCCAGATCCAATCCAAACATGCAGACTGCATTTTGTTGTCTCTTTTGTTATGTTTAATCTGGAACACATTCTAAGCCTTTCTTTGTCTCTCATAATGTTAATGTTTGTGAAGAGTATGGGACAATTATTTACTAGACTATTCCTCAGTTTAGGTTTGGGTTATGCATTTTTGGCAGGTATACTACATCAGTGATGTGTAGCCTTCTCTGTTCATCAGGAGGCACGTGATGTTGGTTTGTCCCGTTTTTGGTGATACTGACTTTGATCACTTGGTTAAGGTTGTGTCCACCACGTTTCTCTACCGTAACCTTTGTAGTTAGTTATCTTTGTATATATAATTTGTGGGGAGCTGTCTGGAGACTATAAATGAATTTTTATTATACAAATTAAATATATCTTTTTTTTTTTTTTTAGTATGATTTTTCAAATTTTGACCAGGCTAAATGTAAGAGGAGATCTCTAACCTACCCAGGTAAGCCAGTAGAGTATTTTGTATATTTGGAGATTTTAACAAATTTAACTTGAGAGAGAAGATTAAACAAAAAAAAAAAAAAACAAAGTAACTTGTTGAGACTTAAGGCTAGTTGCCAGAAGTCTTGTGGTGGGTAGTACTTAAAAACGTGTTAATCGGTAGCTAAGTGTTTTTATGCTATTAAGGTTCTGAAAATATGCATAGCTATGTTAATATGTATTAACCATTAATATATTAATTTGTTGATATGTCTTAGGTGATGTCTTTACTTGGTAAACATAATCATTGAACTTTGGGATAATTACAGCAGAAAGAATAGTTTGCATCTTTAAAAGTTCATCGCATTGTTGATTAGAGAATTTCTTCCTTTTTTGCCCCCCAAGCTTAAATCACTGTGAATTGTTGTGAAATGTAAATCATTTCTTGATGTTTACTTTGGTGGGTTACACCAGATAATTGGATCAGTAAATTTATTTTCAACTAAAGTTACTTGATTTGAAAAACATTCTGAAATATTCTTTCAGTATGAAAAAAAATTCTAGATTGTTACCGAGTCTTGAAAAAAAATCTTGAAATTGTGTTTTAGTAATGAAATTTGCCCTAGAATTTCCAACATACAAAATATAATTAAAAAGTATACCTCAATAAATTTCTGAGGAGTAAAGATGTGTTAGCGTTTATACATTTAAACTATTTCTTAGTTTCTTGTCGGAGAAGTGCCCTTTTTTCTTCTATTGCCTGAATTTAGATAAAAGCTATGAGTTTATTAAACAAATGTATGAGGACTAACAAGTGGTATCATGATTAGGTGGGAAGAAGACTGGATTCTGAATTTTAGTCTTCCCACTTGCCAACTATGTTGCTTGGGAAAATTTACATAACCTCTCTGGTCCTTAGATTCCTGACCTGTAGATTACGGTTAAAGGCACCTAGTCTGCTAACTCCATAGGGTCATTGCTAGGATCAAATATGGTAATGGATGAAAAAGCACTTTGTTATCAGTAACCAAAAAAACTGTTGGCTTCAAGTCGATTCAGACTCCTAGTGACCCGTAGGACAAAGTAGAACTGCTCCATAGAGTTTCCAAGGAGTGGCTGGTGGACTCAAACTACTGACCTTTTGGTTAGCGCCTGAGCTCTTAACTGCTGCGTTAGCAGGGCTCCTATTATCGGTAAAGTGCTATATAAATATAAGATTTGGTGCCTGTGTTCTGTAAGTTTGCAGTCCAGTTAGGGAGACATATAGATAAAAAACCATTAAGTAATTTTGCTGTCTTATCATTGGAGCCTAGAATGCAACATTAGTGTATGATCTCAGTGTGTGATCTCTGGTGTTTTCTTTTTTGTTGACAGATGATTTGAATACCTACTCATCTGGAGATAAAGTTGGTTCATCATTAAGATTTTATTCTGATGAAGGAAAGCATCGCACATCACCTCTTTGCAGTTCATTCAAGCACTTAAATATGAATTGGTAATGTAGCCCTGAATCGTATCTGTTGCTGTCCCCTCAGTATCTCAAAAAACTGAGAAAGGAAAAAAGAGTATACTATGTGTATGTGTTTGCTTTTCCCCGAAAGGAAGTATACGCAGTTTGGAGCCTGCTGAATATTTGAAGAAACTTATTCAATATTACTGAGGATCTCTGTAGTAAGAGTATAAACCTAACATTATGTTTGGAGGCATAATGGAAAGTTAAATTATATAATTTGAAAAGTGAAAATTTATTTTTATAGCTATTTGTTCAAAACCCAAATGAAGATCTTGTTCGCTTTTAAAAAAAAAAGGAAGTAGGGAAAAAACTGGAGTACAGGTTTGTTAGGCAGCAATGTTTAACTCAATATTCACTGTGTGTTGAGCAGTGTGGTAAGCACTATATTTTAGGTAGATGGAAGAAGAGGGTCTGTGGAGATGGTAACTATGAAACAAGAACTGTATGGTATAGCGCTGGGCTGCAAGGGGTTGGCAGTTCTTTAGAGGAGATAATACTTATTATGGGTGAAACCAGCATAAAAACAATGGAAGCAAAAATGAAATAAAGTTCTAAATTGAATTGTATTAAATGTCAAAAATATATGGCAGAAACAAAATGCTATGGCTATCCAGGAGTTAACATTTTGAAATAAGGTAAAACTATATATACATATAACATATAGTTATATATGTACATATGTGTGTATGTGTGTATATATATGTATATGTATGATTTTGTATAGGTATATATCTCTACAACATGAAATATTGAAATAATTTAGAAGAAAAAAAAGATAAGCGCACCTTAAATATCTGTAAGGAGCCCTGCTGGCACAGTGATTAAGCGCTCGGCTGCTAACGGAATGGTTGGCAGTTCAAACCCACCAGCCACTCCTCGGGGGAAAGATGCGGCGGTCTGCTTCGTAAAGATTACAGCCTTGGAAACCCTATGGGGGAGTTCTTCTCTGTCCTATAGGGTAACTATGAGTTGAGTCGACTCGATGGCATTGGGTAAAATATCTGTAATCGATATTTGGGAGCATTAATTTTTTCATAATTGCTTCATTCTGTACTTAAAAGGCTTGGGTTTGAGTATTCTGTTATCAACCACTTGGTCTTTTGAATTACCCATTCCAGTTCAACTGTAAGCTTATATTTTGTGAAGCATTTGTTTCTCAGATTAAGATACTGTTAGAAATCTAAAGTCATAGCAGATGGGTATCTGTGAATTTTTGTTTTTCTTACTTGAAGTAGATTGTCTAAAAAGGCATCATCCTCATCTGTATTATGCAGAACCCCACTCATTGTCATGTGCACTACAAGTTGTGATTTGGAAAATTTACCGTATTGAAATTCTATCTGTTCATGGTTCTTCGAGAGACTGGTAGTGTCTCCCAAACACTGGTTACTGCAGCAGCATTTTTTTTTTTTTTCTTTAACAAATAGAAATTTATTTTCTCACAGTTTCAGAGGCTAGAAGTCCAAATTCAGGGCGCCAGCTCTAGGGGAAGGCTTTCTCTCTCTGTTGGCTCACGGCAGCATTTTTTAATGTTTAAAAGAAAGAGCACCAAGGCCAAAGAAAGATTGTTAAAAAATCATTTTACAGATTCTTATGTTAAATTAAACTATCTAAGCTTTGCTGCAATACTGTTTTCAATATGTGATGGTACAGATGTTAAAACAGTGCTGGGTACATCATATATACTCAGATGTAGGCTATGATTATTATCATTTTTGTTATTACTATTTCATTTGATAATCACAGAATAATCTAGTTGATCTGGATTCGAGATTTGTACATGAGATAGACTGAATGTGTTATTAGCTGCCGTTTTTGACTCATAGCAACCACATGTGACAGAGTGGAACTGTTCCATAGGGTTTTCTTGGCTGTAATCTTTATGGGAGCAGATCTCCACGTCTTTCTCTTAAGGAACGGCTGGGTGGATACAACCTGTCAGTTATTAACCGTTTGCTCCACCAGGGCTACTTAGTTTGAATGTAGGGGGAAGGAAAGTGAAAATTGCTTTAACGTAATAATAGTGAATTCATGGAAGTTATTTTCTTATACTTAACTGATAGTTTTATAATTTTTTGTTAATAAATAATAAATGATTGAGGTACAATTTCAAGTTATAATTTGAAGTTTTTGGCCTATGAAGGTTCTTACAACATTGGAAAGTTTTTCCATAATCCCTAGTTATGAATGATTTAACTTAGAACTGTGCTGTTTAATACAGTAGCCACAGGCCACATGTGGCTATTGAGAACTTGAAATATAGCTAGTCTGAATTGTAATGTGTTACAAGTTTAAAATACACACTCTGAAGACATAGCATGGATAAAAGAATGTAAAATATCTCAGTAATAACTTTTTATATTGATTACATGTTGAAATGGTAGTCTTTTGGATATACTGGGTTGTTGGTAGGTGCCATTAAGTTGATTCCAACTCGTAGAGACCCCATGCATTATCAGAATTTCACCTGTCTGTTTTAATGATTTTAATCTGGCTACTAGAAAATTTAAAACTATGTATGTGACTTGCATTATATTCCTTTCGGACAGCACTGCTGTAGAAATTTCAACTCTGAGATAGTCTTTTTGGAGATAACATGGTCTTCTTAAGACCTAGGATTCTGCCCTACCACTTCCTAGTTACATTACCTGTCACCTATTTAAATTCTTTAGGATTCAGTTTCCTCATCTGAAACATTAGTTCTTTTAGCCAAAACTGTGGATAAACAGTACTGTTATATCTGCCTCACACAATTTTTGGTATCAAGTGAAAGAAAGTGTTTGAAAGTTGTAGAGCATTCTACATTTATATGTAGTTTTAAATTAAGCCCATTGAATAGGTAGAGAAGGGCAAAAGATGCTTGTAATGGGTTCTCAGGATTATTGACTGTTACTTTTTACATACATTTCTCAGTAATATTTTATTTTCCTGTTAGTATTTGAAAAACAGTTTTATCTTTTTAAAATGCTGTAGAAAACTTCCAGATTGCTGTGATGGAATATTTTTTTAAAGCCTAGGTGATGAACTGGATTCTTTTCATGATCTGAAGCAACGGGAAACAGAGGAGTTAATTAAGAGTGAACATAGACTTAGTGCCTCCAAAATACCCAAGCAATCTTTTAAAGAAATAGATAAAGGTAAAGGAAATGTTTATTTCAGGAGACTCATTTAAAATATTAATTTTGTCAAGTAAAGCACATAAGGCTTACTCATTCGTTATGGTTCTGAGGGATCTGTATGTTTCTGTGTGCTGATTTTTTGTTAGCCATAAGATAGTTACTGTGCTTATTATGAAACTAAAGAAGAAAAATAAACTTCATTACTTTCCAGTAGTAGTCTTTGCTCTCAAAACTCATCAAAATAAGTTAAAAATCAAATGAGTACTTTTTATAATGTCCTTCAGTTCTTTTTCGTGTCAGTATCTGTTAGAAAGTCAGTAAGTAAATGATGGTGGTAGTATTTGACTAATCCTTAAATATTTTGAGAAAATACTTCAAATTACCTGAGTTGGGATTCCTTAGTCACTGAACTAGGAGCGTTGTATGTATGTGGTTGCATTTCAGAATTTTGTCAGGGTTTCAAGGAAAGAGGCAGCCAGAGGTGGTGCTCCACTCCCTCTTGGCTGCAAGACTATGAGCACCATTATCCCATTGATAGCACCAGTGCACCTGTTCTCCTGGGAATACGTTGTCTACACACAACATGCTTTCATTTCCCCCTGCCCCATCTCACTTACCCCCTTTTTCTTATACGTCTCTGGATTTGAGGAGATAAAAAAATGATTCTGCCTGGACTTGTGTTTCTATCTATATGTTGGACTTTCCCACTGAAAACATAGGATAAGCTATAAAAAGCCAGGTTTGACAAAAAGTGAGGAATACTCAGGCCAGGGATTGGTGAGGCGAGAACCTAAGATGGTAAGCAGAGCACTGGAAGCGTCTTCACTTTAAGGACTAAGGACATTTGCTGCACCGAATGAAGTAACACTTTTTTTTCTTTAAACTTCACACAATTTTTTGATTTTTGGCTCCTCCAGGCTCCAGATACAGAGTATAGCCCTGGGTCTGCAGAAGGTGAGGAATATAATAAGGAGACCTCCTCCTTAAAGCTGGGGCTCCCAGGAGGCTAATGCAAATTAAAACCTCTGCGAGATAGCATTTCAAACTCTCAGTATTAACAGAAAATAAATTATGACAGTACAGCGTTGACAAGGATAGGAAGCAACCGGAATCTTACCAATGCTGTTGGAAGTACAAATCAATATTTTGGAAATTAATATTTGCAAAACAGTTTGGCATTATTAGTAAAACTGAACCTGCACATAAACCCTCTGATCCAGCAATTTTGTTATTAGATGACCTAGAGGAACTTTCGAACGGGTGTACCAGGAGCTATGTACAAGACTGTAGAATCTGTATAGCCAAAACCTCCAAAATCCATTTATAATAGAATGTTGTCATATATTTATAAAATAGAATAAAGCTGTAAAAATGTGTGAACCCATGGTATTTGCATCAACATGGATAGATTTCAAAAAACATTATTTAAAAGAGAAAGTTGCAGAAATTACATAATCATATGATTATATAATTACAGAAATTGTATAAAATTTTAAAAACGACAAGAAAACAAGGTCTTTTTTAAGATACCTAAGTGGTAAAAACTAAAAAGAAAAGTAAGGCAACAATTAACACTGTATTTGCTTAGTAATTAACATAAGTTTGTTTAGGAGAGGTAGGGAAATATCAGGAATTTCTGAGGTAAGATAATATTCCATTTCTTGGCCTACGTATTAATACGAGAATGTTTTCAGATAATTTATTTTGAAATAACTTAAGATTTACAGAAAAATTGCAAAAAGAGTACAACAAATTCCTTTATACCATTCACCCAGATTTTCTAAATGTTAACATTTGACCACATTTGCTTTATCATTCTTTCTCTCTTTATATAATACTTGTAACAGTATGGCAATTCATATTTAAAATAACTCTTCTTGAAGATTACTGTTTGAGAATATTGAAAGCCATAAATTAACCAAGTTTATTCTTAAAATTTTTTCAGCAGCTACCCAACCAACGAATTTGACCTTTAATTCAAGATCTTGGAGTGAATGGTGTAGTGATACAACTGATTCTCCTTTGAAACGTGTCAAGCATCTAACATCTAAAACATCAAACAAACAGAGTTTACTTCCACATCATATCAATCAGATATATGATGAATTATTTCAAATACATCAGAAGCTGCAGGTAAGAACTGAACACTGAATTGAGATTTCAGAAATCTTTATGTTTTAAGCATCAAGCATTTATAAAATTTGAATATAGGGTATTTCATCTTAATTGTTTTAGATATATAGTCAGGGCAAGGTCAGGAGGGAACAAACTCAATTTATGGCAGCTATTGAAGGGAAAAATGTAGTGGCTGAGAGAAAAATATAAACAGTGATATTTTTATGTATAAGGTGCATGTCTTAGATTTCAGGTGGTCTTGTGTTTTATGTTTATTACCATCCCATCCTTGCTGAAGAAATTAAAACAACTTGCCGGTTAAGTGTGTTTTTTGAAGAAGAATACCCCGGTAGCACAGTGGTTAAGAGCTCGGCTGCTAACCAAAAGGTTGGCAGTTGAATCCACCAGCCAGCTGCTCCTTGGAAACCCTATGGGACAGTTCTACTCTATCCTATAGGGTCGCTATGAGTAGGAGTTGACTCAATGGCGACGGGTATTCTAGATTCATAATCTTGAATACCCACATGTAAGAAGTTCCCTTGTCAATTCTTACCCAAATTCAACTCTGAATATTGGCCTTTTTCTGTCTTTGGGATTTTTTTTTTTTCCCTAAAGGGTTTAATTCATATATTTATGAAGCATCCACTAGGTGGGAGTACAGAAGGAAGCAAAAGTCTGTGTAATTCACAATTTCTGTATGAAATTCTTCTAGTTGGAGAGATACATACACATGAAATAGTTCAATGTTTTTAAAAGCCAGTATCTCATTTTGTCAAAATAATAATTTAGATAATTATTACCATAACATTTCAGAAAAAGATTTTTTTGGCCTATTATTTTTCCCTTTGTGGGAAAAGTTCAGGCAGGGGGAGGGACTTAGCTTGGTCCTTGACTGAGAGGTAGAATTTAGAAAAAAGGAGCAGAGTGGGAAGGGTATTCTAAGTACAAAGAATTAAGAGGTCAGAGGTGATTAGAAAGGAGTAATTGTCAGATTGTGAATTTACCCGCCTGCCTGGGAGAAGAAAATAGTGAAAACCAAGACTGGCTATTACAGGTTTTTATGCAAAAGAGTGACAGAGTAAAAAAATGATATTTTAGGAAGATGATACTAGGATAAAAAGGAATTATTAGAATTGCAAAGATATATTGTCATCTACACCAAACACGATAAAGATGTAAACAATGAATGAGAAAAAATGAATACAACTGATTAATTTGGTTTAGTTAATCTGTGGTGTAATCTGACTTTAAAAATTACTTTGTGATCTTTTATTGTTTTAGAGTTACCATTTCGCATATAACATTTTGTCATGGTATGTGATTTCATTCATTCAACAAATATTTGAGCACCTGTTAATATGGAAGGCATTTATATGCTTCATGCAGAGTATATACCAAACCCACCACCATTGAGTCTATTGCGACTTGTACTGACCCTAAGGACGGAGTAGAACTGCCCCATAGGGTTTCCAAGGCTGTAAATCTACGGAAACTGACTGCCACGTCTTTCTCCCCTGGCTGGTGGATTCGAAACACCGACCTTTTGGGTAGCAACTGAGTGCTTTAACCCCTGCACCACCAGGGCTCCTTAGAGTATATAGAAATGAATAAAATATATATGATTCCTGCCACGTGTAGCTTATTAGAAGCAAAATGTAAATACTAATGTAGGTACAGTTTTATAAATTTAAATGAAGGAATAATACACATACAACATGAATACCTGACTTGGGGAGACTGAGAGGTCAGTAAGCTTTTTCTGAGAAAGTAACATTTAAATTGAGCCCTGAAGGATGAGTAGGGGTTCACCCAGTGAAAGTAGGGGAGGTATATTCTAGACTGAGACATTCTAGTATGAGAAACCTCTGAGGCATCATGACTTAATGTATTCATTTAAGGAAAATGTAGTAGGCAACCTTGAGGATTTTTTTGAATGGAATAAAAAAAACTAAATCAATTTATTATTTTAATTTTAAACCCATTACATAAATAATCTGAATTAGGAGAAGGAAGAAGAGCTCAGATGGTTCCCAGAACTTCCTGTGAGGTCAGTGGCCCACCTCACAGGAAGTTCTGGGAACCATATGAGCTGATCCCACTGTAGCTCCCAGGTTGGCCAAAATCCTGCTCAGTCACAAGAGTCCATGAGCTGCCAAAATGTAGCACCATCATTTTTCCACTGAAGGGAAGGGATAGCAACCATAATTTGTTTACTGCCATCGAGTCGAGCAACCCTGTAGGACAGAGTAGAACTTTCCCATAGGGTTTCCAAGGAGCTCCTGGTGGATTCAGACTGCCAAGCTTTTGGTTAACAGTTGAACTCTTAACCGCTATACCACCAGGGCCCCTTTTTTTTCTTTTTCAAATTTTAAGGTACATGTACAAACTTGAATTGGTATAT